TTCAGTCCTGGAAAGACCGTATTGTTATACCATAAGGTATGCGCTCAGAGATACCGTAAAAGTAGGTATGTATTTGGCCTATAGCCAATATCTCAATCACTGCGCACAAGCAATTATAGCCAAGACGTGGGTGTGTGCACAGTGTTGGCAGTAATAGTAAAGTAGTTCAAAGTGTGTACCTGGAATCTTTAGCCTCTTATTTATAAGGGTTACCTCTAGGGTTTGTGTAGATCTCCCAGTTGTGGTAGGATTCAACTTCCTTTCTGTTGGGATAGGGACTCTATCCTTAGCAGCCTTACTGTTTTATATTGTTAGGATAATTGGGTAACTATCCTTTAAGGGATCCTTGGGTAAGTGGTTAGGATATGGAAATATTCCGTAACAGTTGCCCCCAACCCGGCAGTTCGGAAGCTCGGACTGCTGGGGTGCCTAAGTTTGATTGATAGGTCGACCCTACCGAGGTACTATAATCCTGCCTTGGGTCTGGTGTGACTACCTCTTCTTGGTGTAGCTTTTTATATTGGCTTCTTTTCTCTTGAAGTCTCTGAGTGGTGAGGCGGTGTTTGCCTTTTTTTGCCTTTGAGCTCGGCTTCTCTTGCCGAGGCTCTTTAGTTTTGACTAGACTTATTGCCAGTCTTTTATATAGGTGTTCGCCTAAGTTTTAGGACGGCATTTCGTGCCTCCTTAATAATTAACCCGACTTTGATCTCCCTGGCTTTAAGTGTCGTGGTTCCAGATTTGACTCGATTCCACATAACGAGATCTCTATTACCATGGATTTGACCTTTTGCAAATGTGTATTGTACTTTAGGGAGCACAAATTTTTTTATTACGACTTTCCCCTTTTGGATTTGACTTGTTGCCTTCCTCCTTTTGGATTTGACTTGCTGCCTATATCTTAATTTTGGTAAGGTCTTTCGTGCCTTCTTGAACGATTAGTCCGGCTTCGAATACCCTGACTTCTCTTATTTATGAAGGACTCGGCTTTTTTGCCATAGTCTTGGATTCTTGAAGGAGGAGTTTGCCTCCTCAATTTTAAGCCCGAATACGTATACCATGACTTTTATTTTGATTGACTTGGCTTTTGCCTTGTCTACACTTTTGAAGGTGGTATCTTTGCCTTTCTAATTTTAGCCCGGTTTTAACGTACTGTGGCTTTACTGTTGGACTAGACTTTTTTCCATATTTTGTTTGAGTCCGGTTTTGCATACCGTGGCTTTCTACTTTAAGCAACGCTTCATTAGCGATGGATTTTTAATTTGAGGTTGGCATGTTGGGTCGTAAACTTTGTCATTTGGCTTTGTTGCCAAAATCTTGAATAGGAGTCCGACATCATATGCCGCCCCGGTTTGTCTTTTATCTCAAATTGGGGTGTGATCCTTTTCTAAGATCACGATCTCTCCAATTCCATCTTTCTTTTCTTTTCTTTTCTTTTCTTTTTTCGGACGGGGTGTGATCTTTTTGCTAGGATTACATATCTCCAATTCCATCTTCATTTTAATCGCGGATTGGGGTGTGATTTTTTTTGCTATAATCACATCTCTCCAATTCTGTCTTCATTTTTATCGCGGATTGGGGTGTGATCCTTTTGCTATGATCACATCTCTCCAATTCCGTCTTCATTTTTATCGCGGATTCTGAAGCTATGACTAAGGCGGAGTTGAAGCTCAAAGCCGAGGTCAAACTTTAATCTTGAAGCCCTTGGTTGGGCTAAGTTGGAGCTCAAGGCCGAGGGCGAGCTATTAAACTTGAAGCCCTTCACTAGGCTGATTAAGAACTCAAGGCCGAGGTCGAGCTAATAATTTTGAAGCCCTTAACTGGGCTGAGTTGGAGCTTAAGGTTGAGGCCGAGCTATTAAACTTGAAGCCCTTCACTGGGCTGATTTGGCGCTCAAGGCTAAGGCCGAGCTTTTAAACTTGAAGCCCTTAATTGGGCTGAGCTCAAGGTCGAGGTCAAGCTAATAAATTTGAAGCCCTTAACTGAGCTGAGTTGAAGCTCAAGGCTGAGGTCGAGCTATTAATCTTGAAGCCCTTCACTGGGCTGATTTGGAGCTTAAGGCTGAGGCCGAGTTTCTAAACTTGAAGCCCTTAATTGGGCTGAGCTCCAGGCCGAGGCTGAGCTAATAAATTTGAAGCCCTTAACTGGGCTGAGTTGAAGCTCAAGGTTGAGACCGAGCTTTAATCTTGAAGCCCTTCACTGGGCTGATTTGGAGCTTAAGGCTGAGGCCGAGTTTCTAAACTTGAAGCCCTTAATTGGGCTGAGCTCCAGGCCGAGGCTGAGCTAATAAATTTGAAGCCCTTAACTGGGCTGAGTTGAAGCTCAAGGTTGAGACCGAGCTTTAATCTTGAAGCCCTACGTTGGGAGGAGCTCAAGGCCGAGGCCGAGCTAATAATTTTGAAGCCCTTAACTGGGCTGAGTTGAAGCTCAAGGCTGAGGCCGAGCTATTAAACTTGAAGCCCTTCGTTGGGAGGAGCTCAAGGCCGAGGCCGAGCTAATAATTTTGAAGCCCTTCAATGGGTTGAGTTGGAGCTCAAGGCCGAGGCCGAGCTATTAAACTTGAAGCCCTTCACTGGGCTGATTTTGAGCTCAAGGTCGAAGCCGAGCTTTTAATCTTGAAGCCCTTCACTGGGCTGATTTGGAGCTCAAGGCCGAGGCCGAGCTTTTAAGCTTGAAGCCCTTATTGGATTGAGCTCAAGGCCGAGGCCGAACTTTTAAACTTGAAGCCCTTAACTGGGATGAGTTGGAGCTCAAGGCCGAGCTATTAATCTTGAAGCCCTTCGTTGGGCGGAGCTTAAGGCCGAGGCCGAGCTAATAATTTTGAAGCCCTTAACTAGGCTGAGTTGAAGCTCAAGACTGAGGCCGAGCTATTAAACTTGAAGCCCTTCACTGGTCTGATTTGGAGCTCAAGGCTGAGGCCGAGCTTTTAAACTTGAAGCCCTTAATTGGGATGAGCTCAAGGCCGAGGCTGAGCTAATAAATTTGAAGCCCTTAACTGGGTTGAGTTGAAGCTCGAGGCTGAGGCTGAGCTTTAATCTTGAAGCCCTACGTTGGGAGGAGCTCAAGGCCGAGGCCGAGCTAATAATTTTGAAGCCCTTAACTAGGCTGAGTTGAAGCTCAAGCCTGAGGCCGAGCTATTAAACTTGAAGTCCTTTGTTGGGAGGAGCTCAAGGCTGAGGCCGAGCTAATAATTTTGAAGCCCTTCAATGGGTTGAGTTGGAGCTCAAGGCCGAGGCCGAACTATTAAACTTGAAGCCCTTCACTGGGCTGATTTTGAGCTCAAGGTCGAGGGCGAGCTTCTAAACTTGAAGCCCTTAATTGGGCTAAGCTCAAGGCTGAGGCTGAGCTAATAAATTTGAAGCCCTTAACTGGGCTGAGTTGAAGCTCAAGGCTGAGGCCGAGCTTTAATCTTGAAGCCCTTCAATGGGCTGAGCTCAAGGCCGAGGCCGAGCTAATAATTTTGAATTGCGACGATAAGAATCTCTGTCAAATCGTCATCTACTTGGACCTAGAGCTCCATTTTAGAGTCTCTCTGAGGATCAAAAGCCCTTCTTGCGGTTGGGTTTGTCTCCTTATATATATGTGGTTTCAGCAATTTCAGGTGCGCGAGTTAGACTGCAATCGTGGCATTGTGCTATACCGCACGTGTTCACCATGGATGGGAGTCGAAATTTTCCGTTCCCCATAGACGACGCCAATGTTCAGTCCTGGAAAGATCGTATTGCTATACCATAAGGTATGCGCTTAGAGATACCGTAGAAGTAGGTATGTATTTGGCCTATAGCCAATATCTCAATCACTGCGCACAAGCAATAGGCTTATAGCCAAGACGTGGGTGTGTGCACAGTGTTGGCAGTAATAGTAAAGTAGTTCAAAGTGTGTACCTGAGATCTTTAGCCTCTTATTGATAAGGGTTACCTCTAGAGTTTGTGTAGATCACACAGTTGTGGTAGGATTCAACTTCCTTTCTGTTGGGATAAAGACTCTATTAGCAGCCTTACTGTTTTATATTGTTAGGATAATTGAGTAATTATCCTTTAAGTGATCCTTGGGTAGGTGGTTAGGATATGGAAATATTCTGTAACAATATGTATACTCATTTTAAAATTGGGAGATGTTATACTTATAACATATTTTCCTTTATAACCTCTTACAACCAATATCTTAACCGGTGATTTCCGTCAATCAACGGTTAAGATTTATTGTGAATTAATAATTATTTAATAAATTTTATTTGCAAAAATCTTAACCGTTGATTGACGAAAATCAACGGTTAAGATATTGGTTGTAAGAGGTTGTAAAAGAAAATAGGTTGTAAGTATAACTTTCCCCTTTAAAATTATAACAATTTATGTGATAAAAAATTAAAATAATACTCACGGTTAAAAGGTGGCGAGCTCCAAATATATGACAAAAAATTAAAAATAATACTCAATTATAAAAATTGTATAAATTTCAAGGGAAAGATGACTCCGTTTAGCCCTTGCTTGCTCCATAATCGATAAGACACACAAATGAGAATTTTTTTTTTTTTTTGAAGAAATTTGGATTAACTAATTAATAAGGGATTGTTCTAACATAACTATAAAGTGTAAAGGCAACTCTATTAAAATTTGAAAGGAAAAACTTGCGGTCTATATGATTCTACTTGATTTAAATTGAATTAGTCGAATAAGCATGAATAATCTATAAAAAAAAAAATTATAAAAGTTTGATGAGAACAGTAACATGAATTCTGCAATCCATACCTCGGATTCGGGTTCTAGTTGTTAAGGCTGTCGTCCATCATAACATGCAAGAACAACAAAAACAAACGTGTCATCAAAGGCAGACATGGCATTGCATGCAACCCCTGCATGAAAAGCTCCTCAACACGTGCCACACCACACCCTGTGGTGCTGCCACCGAACCCTCCACCCACTTCCTCCATTTATACCCCCCATTCTCAAACCTCAAACCCTCACACATCACTCTTTGCAACAACCTCCAAACCCAAACCCAATATGGCTGAGGCCCAATACCAACCCAGCCGTTACCAGCAGCAGCAGCAGCAACAACAGAGTGATCAACAAGCTAAGTCCACTCAGATTGTGAAGACCGCCACCGCCGTCACCGCCGGTGGCTCCCTCTTGATCCTCGCCGGCTTAATCTTAGCTGGCACTGTTATTGCTCTCACCATCGCTACCCCACTGTTTGTTATTTTCAGTCCGGTGCTGGTTCCGGCGGTGCTCACGGTGGCGCTCTTGTCCTTGGGGTTCTTGGCGTCCGGCGGATTCGGTGTGGCTGCGATCACGGTGTTAGCGTGGATCTACAGGTACGTGACAGGTAAGCATCCACCTGGCGCTGATCAATTGGACACTGCACGACACAAGCTGATGAATAAAGCGCGGGAGATAAAGGACTATGGACAGCAACAAATCAGTGGAGGACAGCAAGCTTCCTAAAGCTGCACTTGCATGCACAGGATCTTTCCTATTTCGAATTCTCCATCATGTCTAGTTATTTTTATGAGCCCTCGATTTCTTTGTACTCTCTTTGTTGTATTTTCGTGTTTATTGTTTTTGTGGGTCATTGTCACTCTTCATCATCACCTGTTGTAATCTCTTCCAACTCCAAGTGCTGCAACTAGTGACCGACGATCTGTTTATTTATTCCACTTTTATTTTTCATTTTTATTATCCTCCATTTTGTACTCTCCCTTTTTTTTTTCTTTTAAGTTTTCATATGGTTGAAATTTAAAATATTTGATTCATCATAAAAAGGAAATGTTGAAATCAGATTATCAATTAAAAATGCGGAATCATATAAATATAATATAAAATTATATAAGAAGGAAATGTTGAAAAGATATTGTAATAAATTATAGAGTTTTATTAATCTCATTCAATAGGAGAGGAGAGAACTCTCTCATGCAATAGAGATAATCATGTGTGGGACCCGCCTATTATAGAAATAGAGAAAAATTCTCTCGAGAGTATATTTTCCCTAAATTATATAAGTGCAATAGGTAACTCTCCAATAGGAATTTTAGAGTAGTATCTCTAGAAAGGGCATTAAATTTTGCACGCATTATGAACCACACATTTCAACTACCATTCAATTTAACCACATGGTAGTGAGTGAGAGACAGCCCCATCCTTAACTCTTAATGAGGTCTTAAACCTACCATTCCATCAGGCATTAAGTAATCAAACTAATTGGGTATATAATGTAATCAACCACCATCGGAGCACTTTTACATATCAAGAACAATTCGAGTAACTAACTATATTAGAAAATTAAACATGGGAAGATGTCTGGGAACAATGAACAGCTTCATGTGGTTATCTTTCCATTCCTCTCAAAAGAATGAGTTCATTATGAAATGCAAAAAAAAAAAAAAAAAAATCATTTAAAAAGGGTAAACTTTGGATGAGGAGCGGATCCAGTAAATTTTTTTTTGTCCGCCATATTTAATGGCAGGGGCCTGGAAATTTTTTTTTTTTAAAGAAAATTTAAATCAACGCTTAAACTCGCTCATAATTTTGTTGCTTCCCTAACAAGCTGCTAGTTTGACCAATATTTCCCCTTTAAATCTTACAAATTCTCCAAAACAAATATGAGAATATACTCCAGTACATCCATACATCATCATTCTATTTTATAGTGGTGAATAAAAAAGTCAACACTATACAGAAGGCAAACAAAATTACAGTGAATGCCTCGTGTATTAACTTATTTGATAATGTCAGCAATCAATGCTCTCTTTTTATAAAAATGAAAAAGGAAACAGAGGATGAAGAGAGCATGAGAATGGGTATGTGACAGGAGAAGAAGAATAAATTTTCTCTATAATCAATTTGCGTTGCTACGTTATTTTAATCATCTCTTTACGTTGTTACGTTGCTAACTAATATAAGAATAAACATCCTTTCTGCTCCCTAATAAAAAATTCGGTCCCCACTTTAGTTCATTATAAAAAAAATTAATTACCTGGTCCCTATGAAATTCAAAGTGGATCCATTTTGGTCTTTTTGAGGAACTAATGTAGGTCTTTTTAGAATTTGTGAGAGACCACGATTTTAACTAAATTGATCCAATTTAAATTTTTTTAAGGACCTCGAGACTAATTTTTTGGTAAGTGACTAAAATGGGGACCATATTTTTTTCTAGGGACTTAAAAAGGTATTTACTCCTAACATATATATTGAATCAAGAGACAAATAAAGATCTGCAACCAAATAAAAAATAAACTGAAATAATTTTTATGTCCGCACTTGCGGGCATTTGCCCGCAAGTGGGTCTGCCACTGATGAGGAGTATATATATATATATATATATATATATTATGGCTTTAATATTTCTAAAGTGCATGTAGATAAGTTATTTACATTCGCTTCCAAAACGACGTCATTTTGGGTTGAAAAATTAAAAAATTATAATGAAAAAGACTTTTATAACCTTGAAATAAATAATAATTACAAAAATACTTTGATTTCCGCCTCAAAACGACGTCGTTTTGGGCTCAATGTAAATACATTATCTACATTAACTTTAGAAAAAGCGAACCGATATATTATTACTAATTTATAATTTATGGTTATTATTATTAATTTATTATTATTATTAATTATTATTATTTTTCTGAAATATTACAACTAGTACAAAGGTCGGCCAGTATCAAATTTTCATGTAATATCAAATTTTCACTTACATGAGTGAGAGAAGCTTATCTCTTCAGCTATTATCAATTAATCTAATCGAGGTAATTAGATAAAAGGACAATATTCTTATTACCAAATTTTTTATACATACACACAATTTGAATTCAACACCACAAGATTACACCGAAATATCTACTGATGTATGCGGATCTACAGACAAATGAATTTTAGCAAAATGTGAGAGTAATATGCAATAAATGTTGTACACGTTATGAACCACACATTTCAACTACCACTCAATTTAGCCACATGGTAGTGACTGACAGGTATTAAGAAATCAAACTAATTGTGTATATAATCAACGGAGCACTTTTCCGTATCTAGAACAATTCGAGTAACCAACTATATTAGAAAATTAAACATAGGAAGATGTCTAGTGAGGCTGTGAACAATGAACAGCTTCATGTGGTTATGTTTCCATTCCTGGCATTTGGTCACATCAGCCCATTTGTTCAGTTATCCAACAAGCTGTTCTCTCACGGAGTTCGCATCACTTTCTTGTCAGCTTCATCTAACATTCACAGAATCAGATCAACTCTGAATCTCAATCCAGCCATTGATGTTGTTCCACTTCAGTTCCCAAATGGCATAAGCAGCACTGCTGAGTTGCCACCTGATTTGGCTGGAAATCTCATACATGCAGTTCATCTTACTCAACCTCAGGTAAAGTCCCTTTTGTTGGAACTGAAACCCCATTATGTTTTCTTTGACTTTGCACAATTCTGGCTCCCAAAATTAGCTTCTGAAGTTGGAGTCAAATCTGTTCACTTCTCAGTCTTCTCTGCCATTTCCGATTCTTACATTACTGTCCCCACAAGGCTTGTTGATGTTGAAGGAAGAAGCATAACTTTTGAGGATCTTAAGAAACCCCCAAAAGGGTATCCTCAAAATTCCAATATTTCCCTCAAGGCCTTTGAGGCCATGGACTTTATGTTCCTCTTTCGAAGATTTAATGATGCTGACCTAACTGGTTACGAGCGAGTTTTGAAAATCCTTAGTGAATGCTCATTTATAGTGTTTAAAACATGCAAGGAAATAGAAGGACCCTACTTAGACTATATAGAAAAGCAATTTGGAAAACAAGTTCTGTTAACTGGCCCTCTAGTCCCAGAGCCTTCAGTAGATGTGCTAGAAGAAAGATGGTCCAAATGGTTAGATAATTTCCCAGCCAAATCTGTCATGTTATGCTCTTTTGGTAGTGAGACATTTTTGAATGATGATCAAATCAAAGAACTAGCCATTGGGTTAGAACTCACTGGTTTACCTTTCATTTTGGTTCTAAATTTCCCATCCAATATGAATGCAAAGGATGAGTTGGACAGGGCATTACCAAGAGGGTTCTTGGAGAGAGTGAAGAATAGAGGAACGGTGCACACTGGTTGGTTGCAGCAGCAGCTTATTTTGAAACACACTAGTGTTGGGTGTTATATATGTCATGGTGGCTTTAGTTCCGTGATAGAAGCTATGGTCAATGATTGTCAACTGGTGCTGTTGCCTTTCAAGGGTGACCAGTTTTTCAATTCTAAGCTCATAGCCAATGATATGAAGGCAGGGATAGAGGTGAATAGAAATGAAGAAGATGGGTACTTTAAGAAAGAGGATATACTTAAGGCTGTGAAAACTATCATGGTGGAGGATAACAAAGAACCAGGGAAGCACATAAGAGAGAACCACATGAAATGGGGGAACTTTCTTTTGAATAAGGAAATTCAGAACAAGTTTATCACAGATCTTGTTGCCCACTTGAAGTCCTTGGCTTAATTCACTACTGAAGACTTGATTAGTCTCTTCTTCTTTGTGTTTGTGTTTTTGGTTTTGGTTTGTAATCTTCAGCTCCAGCAGCTACTGTTGTTGTATTCAGAATAATTAATGACAATGCTTCCCGGATTTTTTTCAATGATCTTGCTATCGTGCATTGAATTTCTGGTCTTGCATACAGAGTACCAAATTTAGGGGATTTTTTTTTTTTTTTTATAGCGGAAGTACTGAATTCAGTACTTCCATTTTCCCTTATTAGAAAATTTTTATATCATTTCAATCCCATACCTTTTTGTGTTTTTCCATACCTTGTTAGAAAAATATTGTGTTTTTCCCTTGGAATCCTGCAAAGTTTCTAATTTTAGAAGTGATGTATGTAAATCGGTAGTACAGAAAAAGTGACTACAGACGCCAAAGTGATGTATAGGTTGTTCATTTTTTACTATGTGGTACCCACTAATTTGAAATGTGTTATATTAGAGGGATCTGCATGATCAAAAGTGATAAAAAAATAATAATTATATCACTTTGATAAATTATTTTTAAATTATATAATTTAAGAAATTTTTTAATATTATATCACTTTAATCAATTAATCTGCATGGTTACTATGTGTACATGTAATTTTATTTATGAAATCATCATATCATTGTACATTTATATATTTATTCTACTCGGCTTTGTTTGGGAGTTTGGAGGGGAGGGGAAGGAAGGGGATCCAAGGGGAAGGGAGGGAAGGAAATTGAAGGGTATTCCTTTCCCTTGTTTGAGAGTTATAAAAATGGTAAAGGAGGAAAATTAAGGATTAATGAGATATTTTTACCATTTTATCCTTTTTTAAAAATTAATATAATTATTATATTTTACAAATTAAATTAAATTTAAAATTTCTAACAAAATTATGTATTTACTTTTCACAACACTAAAAAAGATCATATTTTCGATGAAATTTTTACGTTGCAAACGATGAAAATTTCATCACAAAATTATTTTTTTCGTCGAAAAGCGACGGAATTTTTCAGCTGATGAAAATTTTAACAAAAATAAATTTTCTATCGAAATTTTCAACGAAATTTATTTTCCATCAAATATTTTAAACGAAAAAAGAATTCTGTCAAAAATTTTGACGGAATATTTTTCGTTCAAAATTTCGATAGAAATGTGTTCGGACGAAATTTTTTACAGAAATTGTTTTGTTAGAAATTTTGAGGGAAATGATACATTCGAAACTTTCGACGAAATTTAGATTCTGTAAAGAATTTTGACAGAATATTTTTTTCGTCAAAATTTTTTGTCGAAATATTTTTCGTCAAAAAATTTTCCGAAAATATTTTTTGTCGAAATTTTTGGACAGAAATGCGTTCCGTTGAAAATTTTGATGAAAATGTTTTTTTATCAAAAAACTTGACGGAAATATTTTCCGTCGAAAATTTTCGATGAAAAATGTGTTTCGTTAAAAATTTTGACATTTTTTTGAAATTTACATTATGTTAAAAAGTTTGATGAAATTTTTTTTCGTTGAAAATTTTTATGGAAATATTTTTCGTCAAAAATTTCGATGAATATGTTTTTTTGTGAAATATTTTGGCCAAATTTAGATTTCGTAAAGAATTTTGACAAAAAAAAAATTTTGTCAAAATTTTTTACAGAAATATTTTCAGTCACAAATTTTGATGGAAATATTTTTCGTAAAAAATTTTGACGTAATTGTTTTACGTCGAAATTTTTCGATGGAAATGTGTTTCATCAAAATTTTGGACGGAAATATTTTCGTTAAAAGTTTCGACGCAATTTAGATTCTATCAATAATTTTAACTGAATTTTTTTCCCGTACAAAATTTATGTTAGTGATTATGGCAAACTCTGGTTCCGTCTCTAATTTTGTCTTTAGTTTTGACAGAAATTTTTTGACGTATATGATTTTCATCAAAAAATTTATCACTATTTTTGACGAAATATTTTTCGTCAATAAATTCTGTCGGTATTTGAGACTTTTTTAATAATATCGTATTTAAAAATCATTCACAATTATGTAGTTTTAAAATTTTAATACTAAGGATAAATAAGTAATTTTTAATATTTTTCCCCTCAAACCCTTCAAATTGGGAGAACTTTAATTTTAAGAAGAAGGAGGATTTTGGAGGGTTTAGTAAAATTTCCCAAACTCTTCTCCTCCTTTTTTTAAACTCACAAATAAGGGAAAGAGTTACTAAAAATCTCCATTTCCTTTCCTTCCCCTCTTAATCCAACTCCCAACTCATAAGTCCCTAACCTAATCTTACAACACCGTATAGTTATTATATATGTGGTTCCCATCCCAAACTAGAGGTCTCTTGACTCATTTGATTTAAAATGAAAATGTTTTTATTAAATTAATTCAAAATTTAAAGTTTTTTTTCAAAATAATACAATGGGAATGTGAGAGGTTATGTACGTTCAAGTCGCGCATAGGTAAGGTGTACTATTTATACATGAGTAAATGTGTATTTATCATATTACATTACGCATACGACATACTGCAAGTTGAACACTATTCCCGTATACGATTTGAATATATACACCTCCATATGCAACTCGAGCGCAAATTTCGATTAATAATTTCAGATTTTGCATATGGTAAAAAAAAACCCTAACTCAAGTTCCACATGCCTTGCAATTCCAGGATATTATTTAACTGCTTATAGTTTGTTAAAAAAAAAAAAGTAAACGTACAAGAAAAAAATCTTTAGATTTTATGTGGAGAGTAATTTTATTCCAATAACATAATTAGCTACTACATGAAACAAAATTGCAATAAAATCTGATAAACAAGAGGCGAAACAAAATATATATCTTGAACCTTAACGTGCTGCCCATAGTTCCCACATACGAGCTGAACCTTGTGCATGATTTTCCAGCTATAAAATCGCCCTGAACTCAGTTACTGCTGCCACCCCTGAGCAACTTCTTGTATTTTGATGCAAGGGGGTTCGAATTGAAGAAAAGAGGGTTATGAAAAAATGATGTTTAATCATCATTATCATAACCATTCTGTGTCTTGACACACAGCCATCAATTAATACTATTTTTGTTTCAAATTCCTCCTCAAATGAGGTAAAAATTTGCATATTATGCATCTAATATTTGCATTGCTTCTTCTATTTGTCCTTCCACCCTTGGACCATACACATAATATCTTTGAATATATAAATGCATACATAACCGGCAACCATATTTTACTAGGTAGCACAGTTGAGCTGCATAAAAAATCATACAATTCTCCTCTTGTTCCCACAACCAGCAATTGTCAACTTCATCTTCATTTTTTGTTGAGAAATATAGTCTCACATTGGTTGTATGGGTAACTAATGTGAGGTTTATAAGGCCTTGGTCACTCTCATCCTTTGAGCTAGCTTTTGGGGTGGTGACCTCAAAATTCTTAACATGGTATCAGAGCGTTCGAAATCTCATCGCCCTCTCACTTTTTTTGTAGTGGAATTTCCACATGTAGGTGGGCTTGTATGTTGTCCACCCTTCAAGCCCAGTGGGCTCTCGTGTGAGGGGGCGTGTTGAGAAATATAGTCCCACACCACATTGATTGTATGGGCAACTAATGTGAGGTTTATAAGGCCTTGGGCACTCCCACCCTTTGAGCTAGCTTTTGGGTGGTGACTTCAAGGTTTTTAACAATTTCCATTTACTGTTAAATTCCCCTTCAAATATATATAAAAAAAGAAAGGAAATTATGCCGAAAAATTTGTAACTTAAATGGTACTAGATTGCTTAGTGAACTGTTTAACATTGGATTGAATTTCACCCCATTTTTTCTTTAACCCAAGATTTATATAACAGACAAATCATTCCATTACACAGTTATTGCATCTACATACGTCCCCAACGCAAGTTGAACTATTAATTAAAACCTTGCTTTTAACAGATATTTATTTGGATTTCTCCCCCACCCTCCGCATAATTTCATATGTTTCCTATGAACTAATTTGAAGTTTGGAGCGAGTTCAGGATTAAGACTTTAAACCCTTTTCAAAGATGATATTAGGGAATATCGAACGTATACTTTCCACCCCCAACTTCTTTAACATATTTAAAAGGAAAAAAAGAAAGAAAAAGATAGGATCTTTCACTCTGAATTCTCAGGACACAACATAACTTGAACTTGTACAAGCTTCTTGTATATGCTCTCTTCTCCTTTTCCTGCCACAATTGTTGGGCTTTGGATTAGACACTCCAGCCTCCAGAGGGAAATTCAATATGGCTTTGTGACCCCTCATTCTGAAGGCAGCACAATCATAAGCCTTGGCAGCATCAATCTCAGTGTCAAATGTACCAAGCCACACCCTTGTCCCTTTCCTTGTGGGGTCACGGATCTCTGCAGCAAACTTGCCCCATGGTCTTCTCCTCACTCCTCTGTAACGCCTTCCCTCGTAGCATGTTGGTTCCTTTTTCCCTGACATCATTGGTTCGGCAGAATTGGACTTCTCTGTGGTTTCCTCTGCTATGGAGTTTTGGACCTCGTGAGAAGTGAGGTCAACAACTTTTTCTGTATCTGCTTCAATATCAAAGCATTCAAGAAAAGTGCAGAATATGCTTTGTTCTGATAAACTTGAATCCAAATCAAATTCTGATGATGGGTCTTCGAGTTTTACAGGAATGAGATTGGAGAGGAATGAGTCTGAGATATCCCCCAAGAGATGTTGGCTCAACAGTTTCAAAGTTGAAATTTCTTCTGATGTTGTCATCTTTAAGAATTGTTGAATTAGTAGGAGGTTGAATTTGAGATGGAGAAAAAGCCAACGTAACCAATATATAGGTTATATTTATCTTATTTTGCATGACATAACTAAATTTCTTACACACACAAAAGATGGGTGAATTCCACTTTTTTTTTTCTCTATCTTTTATTTATGGGTCCCATTTACAATTTTGTTTCTACGACATAAGATAACTATTTTCCTACAACATAAGAAAATTATTTCTCGTATATATATATATATATATATATATATATATATATATATATATATATATATATAAGCATGCATGAAAACAGTTCAAACTTTCTAATTTGGGATACATACGTTTGATCAGAATTAATGATCCGGTTACATGTCTAGTTCTGGGAATGGACCCTTAGACGGTTTTCAATCTGAAACGGTGTATCTTATCCAAATTACATGGTCATATGATTTGGGTGTCCCACGTTGAAGCAACATAGTGTTTAATTAGACTCTCAACTTGGTCCTTGGCATTTAGCAATGGCAGCTGTTCCGTACCATGGACAAATGAACGTAGTTAACTAAATTGAGTAACAAACAAACCGCAAGGGTGGCACACTTGGTGACAGTGTGTGTCCCAAGAATTAGGTTTTGGTTTCAATTATTAACAAAGCTCTTTAGGGCTAGAAGCAAAACCCTTGCTCTCTAAGTCTCAGCTCTAAGTCTCAACGGAAATTAGTTTCATTCTCTCTCCGCTGATAATTGTCCAATGCTCTCTATGCTCCAATGAGGAGCTAGCTCTAGGATCGTACTCCAAAAGTAAAATGACTGAAGAGAGTTGGATGATAATACCTATTGGTTATACCAAAAAATAAATAAATTGAGTAACAAATAGGGACAAGAAACTTTGCAACTTGGGTTACAAAGAGGGGGCCTCCACAAGTTGGTTTTGGTTTGCATGTAGGTGGTGAGCACGTGTACATTGCATTGCAAGCTAGAAAAGGTTGCTGTTTTTATCGTATGGTACATTGGGACCCTCATCTTCAACTTGTATCAAAACATTTAGGAACATTAATTGATTCACTAGCGCCGTGGTTTAGCCAAAACCAGCAAAGGAGAAAAGACAAGTCCTTGATACAAAATATCGTTAGTTTCGTGCAAGTGTATCTGCAACTAGTATAACTATTTGATAGACATTACTCAACAGCATTATCTCAATTCCCCTAATTCTTTCCTTTCTTTCTGACTTGACCCATCTTAAAAATTTATTTTCTGATTAAAACCAAAAAATATATAAATAAGTAAATGAGGAACTTAACTTTTTATACACAAAGCCAACATTAGACATTGACATTGTAAACTTGATCCAATGTACCTAACGTAATATTCAGCCCGTATATAAATCTATTAAATTCTGATTTTCAAATCAAGGCAGATAAATTGCCCAATCAAAAAAATACAAAACCCAGTAACAGTCACTATATGTTGATGCATCCTCGATTCGCAGCAACCAGCAATCATCTGAGCCATTATTTTAATTTGCAAACACATTATAGATAAGCAAAATGTATATAATTAGATCAATTTAAAAATAAATAAATAAATTGATCCAATGTAGGTATAGTTTAACTTGTATCATGCCCGTACATAAATCTATTTTAAATTATGATTTTCAAATTGAGGCACGTAAACTGCCCAAATTAAAAAATACAAAAAATGAGCAGGCAGCAATCAGTTAATACCCATTAAACCTAGATAGAGGTAATATTCATATTATTTATATCTTGGATTATCTCTTTGTCAAATATTTCTTGGTCAGTTGAAACGAAACTTGGTTGATTTGTGGATGCAAGAAGTCTAGCCCACATCCTACCTGTCAGCTCGACCGTATTTTGTCTCTCTGTCACACGCTGCAACAATATGTTCTATGATTAGCTGGTATAGTACATAATGCAGGAAAAATAACAAACACATTATATGAGCATCGTAAGGTAGACCATAATCTCCAGTAACCTAAATTGTCAATAATTGTATTACATTAAAATTTTAGAGTGGAAGAAAGTGCCAAGATAGTCCTACACATGAATCATATACACACTTCATAGAAACGACTAAATACAGCACATTTATCAATGTCTTTTTCCACTGTAGATATCCAGTTATAAAAGGAAAAGAAAAATAATGCAGCACATTGTTAAAAAGTTCGCAAGTTTGGGTTGGATTTCAAAAATGCTTTTCAGTTTTCTACTTTTCTTGATAAGGTTGTGGTGTCAGATGGAGGAAGCGGATTCCATGGAGAATATATAAACATGAACCAATGAAATGAACCACTTACAGCAATTGGGATATAAGCATGTCTACTGTTCACAGGCCCGACTGTGAAGCCAGTATATCCAGCCATAGCTCCATGAATAGCACTATGAGCAAGAAGAGTGCAGTAAACGTTGTCCGAGGCATTACTTGGAATAGCTCGAATCATGTACGTTGGATCTACATAAGTAGCACAACCGATTGTTTTATAATGAAAAAGAAACAACATATTTCACTTACCAAAATAGTAAACATATTTCAAGATTTCAATAGAGAAGTATAAAAATTTAAAAAGTAATTACTTAACAAATGTACCCAGATCACATTATTAAAGTATTAAATCAAGTTGAAAAGTTAACATTGATAAAAAAAAAAATATAAAAATTATAAATAACAGAATAGTTTTACTTTAGAATGTCAAGCTTAATTGGTTTTATGCAGTGTTTCTTGGAATTCTAGTTAACCAAAAGCAAAAGATAACTAGAAAGTAATTTAAAAGCAGCATTATCTACTGTTGCGATCCCACCGTGTAGAGACTAGGCATTAGAAACATGCTTCCCCTAACATTAATTGATTTTATATAAAAGAAGAGAAGAACTACTCTAATTGATTTCAAAATTTTACATACATACATCATTATGTTATGAATAACAAGATTTAAACAATATTACAAGGCTTTAATGTTTCTACAGTGAACGTAGATAAGTTGTCTACATTCGCTCTCAATTAAAAAAAATTAATGAAAAAAACTATTATAACCCTGAAATAAATTATAATTACAAAATTACCTTGATTTCTGCCTCAAAACGACGTCGTTTTGAGCTCAATGTAGATAAGTTATCTACATTAAATGTAGAAAAAGCGAACCCATATTACAATCACATTAAACTAATTATTATTCTTCTCCCACCTATTGAATTTTAAATTTGATTATAATAATTATAATTTAGTTATACTATTTTAATAATTACATAAAAAAATGCAATAGGTATCATCAGAAAATATATTAAATTCTTTTTTATAACAAATAATAATTCTATTATATATAAGTCAATATATATTTAACAAAAATCAATGCATGATAATAAGTATTAATCTTAATTATAGCGTGCTCAAATAAATGAATAATTTAATATATATCCAGTTAGATGTATAGAATTTGTCCAATTGAAGCACATTCCACTGGGAACCAGGATGATGGATAGCGTAGCACAAAAACACATCCTCCATTATCTTCTTGTCTCTATTGTTTTCTGTTTTATGGTAAAGTGCGACTAAACTTCATAACCAGAAGATAGAAAACTTTCTATACCATTTTTCTCTAATCTATTAGAAGCAACTAAGTTCTCCTATGTTTCCTTTCCATATGATCAATTCATAAATATATATATCTTCAACTGGATAACAACGGTTCATGCGATTTCTTCCATAAAGATAAAGCTGTTGCTAGTGGTAGGCAATAATCATTAAGGTTTTTCTTCTATTATCAAAAAGTAAAAAGACTAATAGGAAACTCATCAACGTACCTATATATTTCATATTTATCGCCATCTTTCTATCCTTTGTGAAATGATCCTGTAACAAGTAAGATGTAGATTAAGAAATAAAGAATGATAACAAAAACAATGTTCACAACCTCTAGAGAAATGAAAGGTAATGCTCTTCAAAATGAAGATTGTTGCATTTATTTGTACCAAATAGTCCTTAATCAAGGATGAGTTCAAAGTCCATTCTCCTACTTTCACACATTCATCATTCCTCTATTAAAGAGTATAGTTATTGATGGTCATATTTTCTTCGATACTATGAGAAAGCATAAAACATAATCAGAAAATTGAACTAGACTAACAAGAGGGATCGGTAGCTGCTAGTCCACATCAACAAATTTCCCAACTCTCAGAAATCTCACACTGGTGTCATGATTAAAAAGAGAGAAAAAAATGAAAATTAATTACAAAAGATTATAGATGACACTTAACATTATAAATGAGTAAGTTGACTGTTCCCATCCGCATAAATCTGGTTCTAAAAAGAAATGCAAGACTGTCTCGGGAGTAGATACTTTTGCTACGATCATGTATCTTAAAAATTCTACAATCAGCTCTACAAAAGATCACTAATTTTCTGCAGTCTTGAGTCCTTTAAATTTAAAGGTGTCTATGATACAAGTTACCATACACATCTGCAAATATTACATATCTAAAAAAAGTGAAGAGAATTCAACGGAGACAGAGAAAGATTATGCAACAAACCTTGATCTTATCAGACAACCACAGACCAACATCAAGAAGTAGCTTGTTCCCCGATGCATCCTTTTTATCTGCTGCATGCACTTCTGCAGCAACATATTCCTGGCCTGCTCCTTCTGCTACCACAATAACTAAGTGTCCATTTTCTTTTAACCTCTCTTCAATAAACTCAAAAAGCCCACCTCTTCCTTCCAAATAAAAGGGAGACTCTGGAATCAAGCAGCAATCCTGGTACAACTCTTGCTATTAGCCGGCATTCCTTTTGCTTTCTTTAATATTTAAACAAAAAGATAAGAATCTATCAAGCCAAAGAAGAGTTTCGTGGTGAACTCCTTCGGAACATTTAAAAAAATATTTTACATCATAAATGAAGGGGTTGGAAGAGTCATCACCAAAGTTGAGATTGGGCAAATGCCTTACCACATCTCGACTCGCCAAAGTTGCAAACATGGCAATGAAACCTGCATATGGAAGCTTGTAAAGTATATCTCTGTAAAGAGAAATAGGATGCTTAAAGATCTAATACCAATATTTCATTCATCATATAAAGCTCCCATTCTTTGTCATTTAAACGAATAAAATTATTTGGAAAATTAGAATTACAATAAAAAAGAAAACAAGATACAAAATCGAGCATTAGTTTAGCACTGCTTGTTTACCACTGTATCTGCCCATTAGCTTAACAATTCCGACTCCATTTTCAACACTTTCAACCTCTACATGTGCAGCGTTAATGGCTCTCTGGGCTTCTTCCACAGCAGTATCAAATCCAAAAGATTTGTCAATCACCTAGAACCCAAGAGCAACATACCATAAAAAGTGCTTCCTCTGTCCAAATATTTATTTATATTTATAAATTTATTTATATTTTTAAATATAAATAAATATTATAAATGTGTATACAGACAAAAAATTTGAAGAATGAATATAATATCTCTGAGTTAATACACATGGTTGCACACACACCTACAGAATCTTGAACCTTGATCTATGCCTCAACCTCAACCAAATTCTAAGAGTAAGCATACAATTACTGAACTACATATAATACACCAAGCAAATCTAGAGTAAAAGAATTAGTATATATAATTAAACAAAAACTCTTCCCTATGGTACAAATGCATGAGGAATATTAAGAAGTTTGAGTCTTTGCAAGTTAGCAGAACAAAGCAAGAAAAAGACAACCGAATTGTCAAGATCACTTTATAATATAATTGACAAACTAAATTTAACTAAAAGAAATTAGTTTTTTCAATCAAAGCAGATTTCTGAAATACAACAAGCGTAAGTGTGAATTGTAACAAGATTCTACCCTAAATATACTTTTATCTTACATGAACAGTCAAAAAGCTACTCGACACTGATAGAAGATGGTACCATAAGATGTCTACTCTCACTTAAGATCTTTAAGGAACAACAATCATTGAAAGAGAGTATCAAAATCAATATCCAACAACTCTCCCTAACAAAGTGAGAGAAGAAAATTGACCATGGATTCAAAAACAGGGTGGTAAGCCGATCAAGCAAAACAAACAATCAGTGACAGCAAATTGGTTGATACAACCAGCTGTAGGCACCCACCAATCCAGAAGAACAAAGGCACCATAGGACCAGCACTCCATTTTCATGTAATACTCTTCTTGCTTCTTGTTCCAACTTGAAAGTAAAGAGAAGCGGGGAAGCTAGCAAACATGCCACCTTCAAACCAGCAGATTTCCAATGCCAATTTGCCCAAACTTTAAACTGATCAATTCTTGCTTACCCGAGAAATCTACTGATAGAGCCCCTAAATTGAAGGTTTATTATAGAAGGCAAAGTAGGGGATTACATGCCTTGAATGCTGACTCAGCCATATGCATGGGAAGCATGACAGGGGAAGATTGGGGAGAGAAGAGCAACTTTAGGGCATTGGGCATTTTGGAATTGGGGCGACCAGAACCTCCTGTGTTCTAGGTGGTATTTTTCATATCTGTAATTTCTTTCTTTGGGTTGTTGCTTTGAGATTGTAGTAGCTGTTTTCCCTGTAATTTCCTCTCATTGTCTGAAACTCTGTATTACGTTGCTGGGCTTCATTATACCAGCTTGATTAATATAAGTATTATTCAGTAAAAGAATTTCTTTTATCTATCTGAGTTTGCGTCTTAACTCTTACCATCTATCTACCAACTAAACACCTACCAACAGTGACGACAACTGCCTCGACAATAGTAAAATCTACTATGGACCTACCTTTATCATTGACAACCACATTGGATTTGACGCAACCTACGGCCATTTCTTCTTGTCTCCCATCTTGTGGAATTTCAAGTCTGGTTTGTTGTTTGTAATTTTTGGGATGTTCTAGTTTTAGGTCTCTATCGATTTTTCTGTGAAATTTTTCATTTTTTCCTTTGATTTTGGTACATGGTTGGAAGGCTTGCTAGGTTGTATAGCCATCGTGCTAGTCATTGCCCTGATTTTTGGATCGTGACAGATTTGATCAATTAGATCAATTTCAAAGACTCACAAATTTACCACAGAACATCAAATATATTATCAATTCATGCTCTAAAAAAATATAGCCCTATTTGTTTGTCATGAACATTTTTTTTTTCCCACAGAGAATGAAAACAGGATAATAACTGCAATTAAAAAAAAAACTAATTAAAATAAACAAACAAGAATATGTCACTATGATGTGTGCAAAGTTCAGAATAGATTATGGCTAAGAACTTACAGCAATATCATTATCAATTGTCTTTGGAATCCCAGCCACAGCCACCTGAAGACCACGTTTTTCAACTTCCTTCATAAAAGGATGCTCATATTACATTATTCCATAACAAGACTACATGAATGGCTAGTTGAAGGCAATAATTGATTTCCTGAGACCAATCAATTACCTCATAAATGAGCGCAGCTCCTTTTTGGGTACCATCACCTCCAATAATATATACCTAACATACATACACAGATCAAATTGCCCTTCGTTTCAGATATTATCTCCATAATCAATAAAAAAACTAAAGCCAAAAAATTGAATAAAATTTAACAAGCATCCACCTGATTTATTCCCCGGTCCGCAATGTTATCAACTATCTTATGGGTATCATGTCCACCGCGAGATGTGCGAAGAAAGGTGCCACCACGTTTATGGATATCATTAACCACTTTAGGTGTCAATCTCACGGTATTTTTTGAATAAAACCCTCTATATCCTCCCTGAATTAGTTTCAGGAACAGCATGGTGACTGACAAGAACACATAAAATGATCATAAAAGAAATTGTGAAACTACGTTTTCAGATTGGAAATAATGTTCAAAAACTTAATAAGACAATGAAATTACAATTGATAACAAAAATAGAAGTTGATAAACTGTAAATGATATTCCCTCTCATTCAATTTTCACATATTTTTTTAATAAATGATCCTCTAATTGATTCTACTTGATTCTATACATAACAATCCTATGGATATTCTAAGACATTCTAACACTGTTTAACAAAAGTTTTGTGGCTTCCCTCCTTTATTAATATAGTTGTTATGATTTTAGTTGTTTCATGCAATCATTCCTTCTTTTTCTTAGTTGTTTTTTCTCTTTGTTCTTTTGTTAATCCTCCTTTCTATTTATAATTTTTTCTCTTCATCTTAATAAAGTTCTTCTATTATGAAAAAAATGAGATTAAAAACCAGAAATGATGCATTAAGTATTCAACAAACAGCAAAATAGTCATTAGTTACAGCTCAGGATTCTCATGAAGCAGATTGCACAATTATGCTAGTAAGGGGAAATGGGGGAAAGAAGAGACACATAATAGAGTAGAAGAATGGAATTGCTCCGTTAGGATCAAGAATGGTTACAAGGGAGTCTCTCCCTTACACCGGGCAATGCTCCCAGCCTAACAAAAATGCCAAGATGCCCCAAAAAGGGGCCAAGCTAACCTATATATCCTTGGCTAAGCTTCCTCCCTGAACTACTGACTTCCTAACACTCTAACCAACTCCCTAACTGCCTAACAGATCCTCCTGACTACTTTACACCTGTCACCTCTACTTGATGTCACCCTTGGTCAGCTTGTTCCTCGGATGGTACACCTTCTAGGCCACAGGTTGAGCCCCCATTGAGAAGCCCAATAGTAACATCATATTAATATTATTTTTAAATTTTATCAGAAATTTATTGCTAGTTTAAACAAATAGTAAGCATTAAGCCTTCAATTAACTAAAGCAAGAAGTATCAAGAGCAATGCTAACAACACACTTTCTACTACGGGGTGATTTTCATGTGGGCCCCACGAAAAAGGGTAGGCCCGGGTTTTCTAGTGAGACTCACATACTCACTCAATAGTATAGAGCATGTTGGAAAGAGCATGTCCAACAATGTTTTGGAAAGATAAGTTTAGAACCAATTCAACCTAAAAGCTTAAGTTATTAGGTGAAGGTTATATTAATGGATTTATATTATATTTGTCTCACATGCCCCTTCTCACAAGAGCTTATTGGGCTTGAAAGGTGGACAATGCATAAGCTCCTCTTACTTATGTTAAGAAACTCTACAATATTCAATTATTTATTAATAAAATGGTGCCGGTGAGGAACAAACTTGTGACCATTTGGTCACAAAGGCTTTGATAGTATATTAAGAATCAATTCAACCTAAAAGCTTAAGCTATTAGGTGAAGGTCATATTAGTGGTTTAATATTATATTTCTCTAACAAGATCAAATAGTGTGTTGTTTGCATTTCACTTTTAATACATAGTTAGACTGTTATAATTTCACAAAACTCACCTCAATCCCAAGTATATCTTCAACACCATACATGATGTTCAAGCCACATACAATTTCCCTAATCACTGTATTAATTCCTGGGCATAATCCTCCACAAGTCACTATGCAAGCACGTACTTCTTCTGGCTTGAAATAAACCTAATATTAGAAGAAGGCACTGTCAGCTTCTAAAGATTACAAATGGACAAATCTCTGTTTGATACCTTTTCTCGAGGTCCTGCACGCCGAAAATGAACTCCTCTAGGACTATGTTTTTGAATAACGATCTGGACATGAAACATGGTAAGAAACATAGAGATAAGAAAAACAGAAACACATCAATCATTTGAAAAAGAAAATAATTGACAGACAAGGGAGGAGAAGATTGTGTCACTTACAGTTTGTGCAACCACATCTTCTGGGCTCACAAAAGTTTTCCTTAAAGTACAAGAAAAATTTAAATAAATAAATAAATAATTAAAAGAAACAAGAAGTGTGGGAACAAGAGGAAACAAGTAAATTATAATCTTTGAAGTTACAGCGCAAAATCCCAAACATTTTTCAAAACAATTGCAAAGAAGTGGGCTCACTTGACAATTGAATAAGCTTGGCTCTTTTGCAATGGGTTTGGATATGACTGCAAAAGAGGAATTAATGCACTAAGTATCAGAAATCATGGCTATGGTTAGAAGAGAAGACAGGAAAAAAAAGAAGCCATCTTTGTCTATTTTGAAAAAGAAAAATATTTGGCAAAGAACAATAAGTACATAGGACGGCAAAAAATCCTATTGAAACAACTAAAGCAACAGAACGAAGGAAACCAAATCTAAAACATTGAAGAGCCCTCCAATTCCTTTCCAAATTGACAAAAACCTAGGTTATTAAAAATTCTATTTTGGTCCCGCATTTCATTCTCAATTTGGTCCCTAATTTTGCAATATAGTTCCTCGTTAATCAAAATATACAACAATTTAGTCCTTTTGCAATCAAAATTTACCTTAAACTCACCTCATAAGAAACCAAACGTAGAACATTAAAGAGCCCTCGAATCCCTTTCCAAGTTGACAAAATCCTAGGTTATTAAAAATTCTATTTGGTCCCTCATTAATTGTGATCATTCTCGATTTGGTCCCTAATTTTGCATATGTTCATGAATCAAAATATACACCAATTTAGTCCTTTTGCAATCAAAATGAGGGACCAAATTGAGACTGAACATATTAATGAGGGAGTATGTTAGGACCTATTTGCAAGGTATGGGACTTGGAGTCCCACGTTGGTTGTATGGGCAACTAATGTGGGGTTTCTAAGACCTTGGGCACTCCCACCCTTTGAGCTAGCTTTTGGGGTGATGCATCCCAAGGTTCTTATCAGAGTAAGATAAGACTTTTGTCCTAAATCCATAAGAAAAAGCCCCAAGGAGACCATAAGCTGACTTCACATAGAAGCCAAAAAGATAATCATTTCACAAGAGATTTTCATGGAGAAACCTATGATGTAAAAGTAAAACTATAGCATTACAATCCAACCTTACACACTATAAAAAAACCATCACTCCCTATAAAAACCCAACTAGCGAGGGTAGGGGTGAGGGCATACATCCAAAAGAACTTAAATGATAAAAATAGCACACATCCAAAAGATCTTAAATTGTAAAAAGTTGCACCAATGTAACTGGACAAACTTACTGCTCCTCAAATATACCAAAGCTGCACGCATTCTCACAATGTAAAGTCATATGTATTAAACTTTGTGACAGGTCACTTCTATTAAGAATTAACCTTAATGAGAAACACTTTCCTCACAAAAGTTCTAAGCTTTGATGGAGGAGTCTTCACCTTCAAAAGGGTGTCTAGAAAAGAGAAATTTTGAATAGTTGGATTTGGAATTAAAACAATTAATTGAAATAGTTACTTACAAGTATAAGAACAAGAGAACTCCAAGACATTCCCCAATGAGGAAAAGTAGAACAATCCAAAAATTAGTAATAGGGATAGGAGCACTTTAAAGTGATAAGAATATCTGATACGGGAATTATATAAAGTTGAAAGATTGAAGAGAATAGGAAGCCAGAGAAGGGACAAGAGCATTTCCAATTATCCTCCCAAACCCAAAAACAAGAATCATTGTCAACACACAAGATAAGAAGGGAGAGAAAGAGGGGATATGCCTAAGAGATGAATTTCCAGAGACTCTAATGGGTAGCATAGTTGAAGATTCGACACCCAAACCATTTTGATAAGCACTATAATTGCTTCTAAATAGCTGGTTCCACTAAGAGTTAGATTCCAAATGAAACAACCATAATCACTTACCTACTAAAGCAATGTTCTTAGGCATCAAATTACCAAAACCCATGCCAATGAGGGGTGGTCCAGCTGCCAGGATCTACCAATGGTCCTACATTTCTAGTCATCTATATATACCTCAGAATAGGGCAACCTCCCCTCCCCTTAAACTTTTTACTCATGAACATAAAATAAAAAAATAAAATAAAAAATTACAAAAACCCAAGCCCTCATCCTTTTTTAAGCTTACAACAAACCTCCCAGCTAACCAAAGGCAACATCCCAAACCACAATCCCCAAAGGGATCCTAAACCAAGAAAGGTAATAAAGACAGCTTGTAGATCCCCAACTTCTTCTAGGTACACATGCACAGCTGATCAGCATTAATAAGTTATTATTCATTATTGCACATTTAATTTAACCTTTTATCTTGGCATTACAGTGAGGTGGTGTCCGGGATAGCATGCGCACCTCAACTAAACACCTCCACAGTCTTGTAAAGGGCAGGCCATCTCCACCAGGACTAATGGATTCAAAATAATATTTTGTGGCGGGTTAAATTTAATTTATCTAAGCTAAAAGAAGTTACAAATTAACAACATAAAAAAAAAAATTATAAAAGAAGAAGCAGCAGCAGCTAGTTTAACCAATTGTAAATAATCTTAATTTGATCATAGACAAGGAAAATATGTTAACGTTATCATATATTTCTCCAAAACCCCATGATTTTGGTTACAATAATTGCCTACCTCAGAATGATCATACTGTGCTTCTTCTACACTTATACTTCAGCTTAATAAGTTGAAAATTTATTGTTTAAATATGATCCATGCTAGTTCACAGAATCACAATCGTGAAAATTATAAAAGCAATTTCAATACAAGAAATCTACAATAGCAAAGGTTTTAGCGAAAAAACAAAAGGTACCGGCAAATCGGGAAGGAAATTCGTGAGGTGTGGAACGTCTTCGAGGACAAAATCGTCATTCTCAGTTTGATTGGAAACCTGAGCAGCTGTGATCGGTGGATTGTTTTGGCGGGAAAATGGCAGCGCCTTCCGGAGAAAGATTCCGCGCTGGGAACCGAAATTTCGGGGGAGTCGCGACAGTGACAGTTGCGGAGCGTTTGGATAGAAAGAAAGTTGACGAGAAATTGGAGAGGAGAGAGAACATGGAGAATGGGTTTTAGAGAGAGAAGAGAAAGAAAGGGAGAGATTCATTTTTTGTTCTTTCTTTCGAAGCTGAATCTCTGCGACGAAAGAAATTGAAATTTTGCTTATGCTGTGCGAGTGAAATGAATCAGAGAGTATTGCATTGAAATTGCTGTAGTCAACAGCGTAATTAGTTTTGCTTAATTATAAAAATTGGAATAAAAATTATTGATGGAATAAAATGCAGCAAACTTTACGACTTGTTTGGTAAGGAATGTTTTGCAAATTGATTTTCAAAACAATAATTTTTATTTTTATTTTTACTTTTAAAAACTTGTTTTTTTATTTCTTTATTTTTTTATTTTATTTTATTTTTTAATTTTGTAAATGCAAGAATTCATTAATAGGCAAAAAAAAAAATATTACAATTAAATAAAAAATTATGAAATTGTAACAATTTAAATCCTATTTATGAATGTGTAGGAATAAGTTGTGCCCAATTCGCCTGAATAAGTTGTGCCCAATTCGCCTCAATTTGAGCATGACTCATTCAAAGATGACATGTGAAACAAAATTTTCAACATGACCAGTCGCACCCAAATCCAAGCGTGATAGGGTGCAGTCGCACCCAAACACGTAGCACAAAATTTTGAAAGACCATAACTGTTCAAATTAGGTGAATTTTTTTTATTCCACATAACTTGTTGAGTTCTGTGCGCTGGCAAATTCACATAATTGTATAATCACATAACTTATTAAAGAAATTGCACAAACTATCCTCAATCCACAAATCCTACACATAATGCAGAAACACAGGAACAAAAAAAATTGGGATACAAATACGTTGAATAAATTTTACATAATATTGTCCATTGAAACAATGAGTCACGATTATTTGTTAATGTTGGATAATGAAAAATAAGAATAGGAATTAGATAATATCATTCACATAGATAAAAAGTGTCAAACGGACACAAGGAAAATATTTTTTTGGAAAAAATTTTGGCCAGCACGTAGATCTCAAAAAATTATATGGAATAAAAAACCAATCACTTGATTTGAATGTCCAAGTCAAAAGTTATGGTCTTCTGAAGTTTTAAGGTAAAACTTTCAAAATTTTGTGTCACATGTCATCCTCAAATAAGTCGCGTTCAACCCTATTCAACCCTATAATTGCTATAGTTTCGTAATTCTTTTATTTAAATTATAATATTTTTAAATTTTTCCCCTTCATTAATAATACTTTTGTAAGTAAATATAATTTTTTTAATTTTAAATTACTTTACGGCAATAATAATGTAATTATGAAACTTTATTAATGGCATTTTTGTAAATAATTACAACTTCTTTATAACTTTAATTGAAAACAGTTTTTTTATAAAAACAAAAACAAAAACAAAAACTTATTCAAAGAGACCCTGATAAGTTTGTCCTTTCATATTTAGCAGAAATCCTAAATTTGATCTTAATATAATATCTGGAATATTTTTTTTTTTGAAATAGTCTGTTTTATTTCATTATCCGAAGAATTGAATGAAATACATTTTAATTGCACAAATATTATATTAAAGGCGTGGAAGTGGAAGCGAAAACAAGCAACATTAATACCAAAAGAAACAAATGTAAATAGAAAAACTAAGAAAAAAAATGCTTTCATATATCTTATATTGCTTGTATACCAAACAGACAAAAACTGCTCCGCTCAAGTTGCTTAACTAATTATTTACATGTGTTTAAGGCTGATAACTTTCTTATTTACATATTGTCTACTAGCTGATCAAAATTAAAAAAGTAGCACCATAAACAATTCAATAATGCCATTGTTGGATGCTGTAAGCTTCAGAATAAATGGTATTCCAATCAACAGCATTACACTTTATTTTTTTGAAACAAAACAGAATGGCATTTAATATATATGCTCTTACTACAGTGGCCGAGATGGCCTTTGAATTTTCCCAAATGCATTACAAAAGGTTTCACTTATAGCAGCTCTTACAACATAGCTCTCTGCTCCATTGCCCCTTCTGAAAATGCTTGATCAGCATACCCTCCCCAACGAATACAAGGCACTATCATGCAAATTGAATATGCAACTGCAGGATTTTATATGAACTTAAACCTTGAATTCTTATCTACCAGATGCACTCAGATACCGAGGGCTGCTCATATTTTTACCATCATTTTGTTTTATAAGCATCACTCATCTGAGCTGTATTCACTAGATTCTGGCAATAAGGGTACAGCAGCACAACAGAATGACTCCTTGTCCTTGAGAAGTAGACAACTGCCATCCGAATTCCATTTCAGGTCTGTTATAGTGAATTGGGATAGAGGAACATGAACACAATAGGCACCAGATGGGGTCCACATATACAAGTGTGTGCTTCCAGTGCAAACAACAAGGCGTGTGCATGTCGGGTCCCAAGCTGCGGCTCTGATAGGGTCCTTCTGCACTAAGATTGCAGCAAGCTCAAGATGTCGAATATCCCATACCCAAAGTATTGTAGGCATGCTATCATTACGAGTACATATGTATTGGCTATCATTGCTCCATGACAAAATGCCTGCATTAAAAATGAGTTTAGTCATGTGGGAACCTTCTTTAGTAGCTTGCAAGAGCCATCATGCAAAGCCAGCAACATAAGACATTCAATCAGTCCAGAGACAACCAAGTGATTCAGCCTGTCCAGTCAATTATAATTGAAAAGAAATTGATATGATACATAACCATTAAAGTGATACTGCAGGAACCAAAGTACCATCAATAAAGAATATGAAGAACTAAGAAAGAGACAATCCAAAGAAAAAGTCCTGCCAGCAGAGAAACAAAAATGAACTGGTTTCTAGTTTATACTTTTTGAGTCTTGAGATGAATGGTGGTTCTAAATGTTAAAAGCCCAGGAAAATATAAAATTAGAAACCGTGACTTACAGATCACGGTGGATGGCACTGCCTTAAGACCTGTTGACATTATAGGGAAAAGATGGAAAAGAGAGAAGAGAGGAACTTTATTGTGATGATTTGATACTACCAGTCATTTGATTACTTTGTAACCTGATCTACTCTGGTCCTTAGGAAGGGAATCACATGTTCATGCTAATACTTTGGCAAGCCCAAAAATCATGTAGACCAGAAAACCATGTTCACATCAAATAATTCCATTTCTAATAGGGTCAGAGAGTAGTTAGAATAATTAGATGGTTAGAATAGTTGATGTTTGCGCAGCTAAAGTTGTTAGAGGTAGGGAATAAGCTTAAATAGTAGAAGAGGGGGCATTCAGATCGCTGGCATTTGGGAAGTCGAGCATTAACTCTCGCAGAAAGGGAAAACCCTAGAAATGAGAATTCTTTCCTTAGGTCTCTGTTTCAATTCAATAAAACATTACATCAGTTTTCTTTCTCTTTTCTCTTCTCTGTTTTATTTCATCTTTCTCTCTGAAACACAGAATCTGTTCCTGGGTTCCTAACAATTTCTTCATATTTACTGCACAAATAATGGAATTAAGAAATCTAGCCTTTGCTTCTATGGAATAATTAAATCAAGTAATAAGAAAGCTAAGAAAGCTCATAATTTGTGGCGTTGGAAAATTAGAGAAGCATAGCTTACCAATTCCTTGTTTGGGGTTGGGTTTGTCAGAAGGTGGCTTCTGGAATGGTAAATTGATAGGAACTTCCGTAACCTCATACCTGACTCTGAAGGGTTCTTCTGGAGCATCTGCTTGGAGAAAGAAAAATAAGGAGAGAAAAAAACCAAAACAAAGGAATATGAGGAAGAAAATAATGAGAAAACATCCAATGGCCAATGGAATGAATGATCAAGAAACTGGCTTTCACATGGGAAGGAGTTGTTCTTCAAACAAATTACAAAAACAAAATGTTCATGGAATACCATTTTGCAAGTCCAATTGCATATATAATTTTAATCAAACTATCAAGATAAAAGATTGAAAGAAAGAAAGAACGAAAATTTCAATCTAAATTCAAAAGCAAAAGAAGTTCCCTAGCAAACCTCTATTCGTTCAAAGATCAACCTTTAACATAACTCAAGGACCAAAGAACATAGAAGCAAAGCCTTCAGGGTCTGAATATTCAGCCCAACTTTTTCGTACTAAGAGCTAAAGATGAGATTATGGCATGGGTTCAAAATCTACTCTTCTACATTTAACTTTTACCAAAGGAAAACAAAATCTTCATAAAAAATAAAAGTCTTCCTGAAATTTATGTTGAATTGGAAATAAGAAACCATAAATGCTATTGAAGACCAGCAGCCCAACTCAGATTCTTTATTTCCTGAAGGTAATTTTTCAAGCAATTGTTTTATTCCAAATGATCACCAGCTCATGTCAGCTTGGAAAGGGTACTAATACCCTGTATAAGTCATACCTAACAATAAAAATAAACTTACCGTTTTCAATCTCTTTGTTCTCTTTAATTTAAGCTGACTTTTACACCACCCCATTCGTGTTTATGAAAATGTGTTACTCATGGAAGTTCTGTTGAAACTTACCTATAGCTAAACTCTGTCAGCCTTTTCTCGTATGTTATTTTACTACAAGAAATGGCTCATGAAACATATATATAGGCATAAGTAATGACTGCCTGCTGGCAAATTATAAAGCAACAACACATGACGAAAAATAGTGTAATCACAAAAAAAAAGTGCTGGTTCCCACGGCAATTGGGTTTACCATCATTTCCTTGGGAAAAATCATCGCTCAAACAAAGTTCGGACATATCAAGTTGCAGTGGCTCATCTACTTCCTGAAATTTCAGGGGCAACATAAATAAATTGTACATAAACTGCAACATCATTGATATGAAAAGTGGCAAAAAGGAGTACTTTGAAAACAGCAGCATAACAGGGGCCACGAACTGTAGAGGGGTGCATAAACTCTGCAAATGTCTTCCAAGTTAGGTGATTCAGGACCCGCAGCATCTGGTCATAACTACCCACTGCCAGAAACTGACCACACGGAGACCATGACACACTTTTAACTCCCAATCCACTTTCATATGCTTGATACTTGAAAAGGCACCTTCCGTCTGGAGAATAGATTAGAACCTATATCAAACAAAAATGACCAAGTTTTTGGCAAATGTGAATACAGCATAAATTGTTAAGATTAATTTATAGCATGACCAATGAATTATATAAAAGCAACAGTCTATAAGTGACACAAAAGTAGACCTACAAAACACATCAGGATAGAATGTACAATTTGATATATGGACATACATGAAACTTCGATTGAAAAATGCATGTATACTGTTTTTGATGGCATAAATAAGAGCTATCTTGCAAGAAGACATGAAGGAGCATTTGCACCATAAAAAAGAGAAAATTACTGATGGCGCACCATAAAGGAGCCAAGAAGACAGCTGCCTATGTAACTGTCAAATCTAAAGCATATGGTTGTTACCTTGTATTCAAGTGGTGAATCCCATATCACAATAGCACTATCGTCAGGGGACCATTCAATATCAGCCAAGTCTAGAGTGTCAACTGCAAAAATGCCCATGATTTCCCATGTGTGACAAGACAAAAGATTTATATAGTCCTTGCAATCACGCCTTGTGCAAATTGCTGCAAACTTTCCATCTCGTGTGAAAGAAACTCCCTTGGAAGCATGCTTTGGCCACTGCACATGCACACAAGCTGTGTTTACCAATGACCAAACTGTTAAACGCAACTGGAAATCTGATGTGGTAAGTATGTGGCGACTATCTGGGCTCCACCTAGCATATGCAATACCAGCAGGACCTTCATCTATCTTGCATGTCCACTCAGGCTGTGTCAGTGACCAAGCCTGGATCATTGGCCTTTTATAGAGACCACAAAGAATGTATTCAGAATCAAGGGCCCATTCAATATAACTAATCTTGTCCAAGCACGAAAACAACTGCACAACCTGCATGAACCAAAAAGAATGATTAACCACCAAGAATTAGAAATAGATAATTGAAATTAAGCAGCTTAATCAACGAGTCAAATCTTAAATGGAAATTGTGCAAGATACCAAGATATACAATTCACATAGAACACATTGAAATTGAAACCTAGAGACAAAAGTCCTAAATACATTCTTTGACTGTCTTTATACTCATGTTTTTAACATGCATCATTCACCATTAAATGACATATATTTCTTGAAGAATGAACTCGTACTCTTTTGTGTCAAGTGATCAAGTCAAGAAACTTCATCAAATACACTCTCGTGTCATATCATATGATTCCCATATTCTCAAAAACTGAAAAACTCAACAGAGACAAACAGTAATCACAAATTGGATCCCTTAAAAGTGTCCCAAAACATTCAAGTCCAAGAAATTCAAAGCACATTAGCATCCATTTGAACGCACAAAGTTTTCTCACAAAAAAGCCAAATCAAAACTCCAAACAGTCCACTCCACGGGACCCACAAAACAAAACCAGAACTCTAAATGCTGATACGAATTTACAAAATTACAAATAAAAGATGAATTGATGCAGTGTTCTAAGAAGGGTGCACCCAAAAAAAAAAAAAACCTTAAAAGAGAGGGTCTCCCGAATGACGAGGCGATAATCGACGGCGACGGCTATGAAGCGAGCATTGGGAGAGAAACAACAGGGACCCGTTTGCTTGTAAGATTCAGTGAACTCCATGGATCAGCAAATGAGGATTTTCTTCTTCAAATTTCAAGTTTAAACAAAGGAAAGGATGATCCTCATGGAAGAAGAAGATACTTCTGTGAGTGAGTTCCTTCCGAAATTGAACTATAAAAAAGTGACAGAAGAATACAAAGAAAGTAGATCTGGAACCACCATGTTAAAGGAATGGTGCTTTTGTTTCATTCTTTTGAGACAAGATTTTCAAATGCAACAAATGGATCGTTAAATCATTAATGTTCTCTCCGTTAATCTATTTTCTTTCTTTAATTCTTGTAATCATTTTATTTTATGGATAATTTATTGGAAAAAATGTTCCTCCTTTTAAATCATTTTACTCTTGTAAAGAGGTGACACCCACATTTTTTATTTTTTTCGTCCACTCTCTTTTCCTCTTTATCTATCTATTTCTCTCACTTAAAATGACATAACTTTACATCCTTTAGAATGACACATATTTTTTCCTAATTTATTTGTTATGAATTATGTGAAAAACCTGCTTTCCTTAGTTATCTTGCACCGACACTGACACGGGATACGACACGACACTCTGATATGTTAATTCTAAAAAGTATTAAATTTCGACATATTAGGACACGTTTTGATATTTTATAATATTTTTAATTTATGTAGTATATGATATATTTAATATTCAATAATTTAATAAAAAAATAAAGCTAAACTTACAATACCTATCAATTTTGCAAAGAACCATAAGATATATCAAATGTTTATATTAAACTCAATAAAATGGTAATCTTAATCTAAAGAATCCAATAGTTGGAACTCAAAATGCAATGCAACGTAAACTTCGAACCTTTTTTGAGTCTTTGCAACGAGTATTGGAGTGTCGAAAAGTGTCGGAGTGTCGATAAGTGTCAGATACGACACGTGAGAATTTTTAAAGTGTCGTTGCTTCATAGTTCCTCACAACAGTTAAATCCAAGTATAATTCTAGTTTGCCAAAAAAAAAAGTAAAATTCTATTTCTTAAAAAAAATATTAAATTAAAAGTAGATGCATTTAATATTTTAATTTTTTTATTTTTTATTTACAAAAAAATATTTTAATTTTTAGTGATTAAAAATAGGGTTTAATATTTTTGTTTTTATTGTAAAAAAAAAAAATTCTGCCACACTCATATAAAAATAAATATATCCCATTATTTTTTTTTTCTCTTCTCTTTATAATGAGGTCTATTCATTTTGATGTGAATGTAATAGGAAAAAAAAAAATCAATACCAAAAGCAGAAATAATAAACCGTTAAAAATATTATTAAAAAATTTGTTGATAAGATATAAAAGACTCTCAAATCAATCCTATAGATGTAATTTTACTAATTTAAAGGGGTTAGCTTATTAGTTACGGTGGTGTGCTTCCTTTAATTTCTTGATTACTCAAGTTTAAATGTTGAACTAGCAATTAAAGGGATTAATTGTTTTTCGTAAATGTACATCAAAGAGTTAAAATGAATACTTAAAAATTTATAACAAATATATGCATGATAAAAAAAATACAAGAAAGACCTCAAGATAGATTCATTGTCAATTTAATTTATTGAGTATTGATTTTATCAATTTAGATCTCATAGTTCAAATTCTTAATACTTCAATCATTTTATTCATTTTATCTAACACGGTTAAGAAGAAGAAGAAAAGATAACGTGACATCATAATATTTAAGGAAAACTTCAAAAAAAATCCTGAAAGTTTCGTCAGAATCACTTACCCCTTTCCAAAAAATTTAATCATTTATACTCTTACTTAAAAATTTTTTATCACTTACACCCTAACTTGATTTTCCATTCAAAATTAAGGTTAACAGAGTTAATTTTTAAAAAAAGTACCAAAACTATCCTTAAAAGAAAAAAAGAAAAATTAACCTTTGGATAAGAAAAAAAAGCACATTCTTGCACGGCTCTATAAATAAGCAAATGAATATCATAATATTTAGGGAAAACTTCAAAAAAAATCCTGAAAGTTTCGTCAGAATCACTTACCCCTCTCCGAAATTTTTAATCATTTACACTCCTACTTAAAATTTTTTTATCACTTACACCCTAACTTGATTTTCCATTCAAAATTAAGGTTAACAGAGTTAATTTTTAAAAAAAGTACCAAAACTATCCTTAAAAGAAAAAAGGAAAAATTAACCCTTGGATAAGAAAAAAAAGCACATTCTTGCACGGCTCTATAAATAAGCAAATGAATATATGGATCATCATTTTGGAATAGCAAACAAGAAAGGGAATTGAAATTTTTAATCAGTGAAGTATTTAATCTTAAGATTCCTCCTAGATGCAGTAAACACCAAATAGTAGGGGTAATGCAAGGGTTAATTCTCTTTTTTTTAATGATAGTTTTGGTATTTTTTTAAAAATTAACTCTGTTAACCTTAATTTTGGATGGAAAATCAAGTTAGGGGTTAAGTGATAAAAAAAATTTAAGTAGGAGTATAAATGATTAAAAATTTCGGGGATGGGGTAAGTGATTCTGACGAAACTTTCAAAGGGTTTTTTTGAAGTTTTTCCTAATATTTAATAGCAAAGGTTGATATTCAACTATCTATTTATATTTATATTCTAAAGTAAAACCATTTATTGGCAAGTTTGATGACGTGTCACTTTCTCATACATTCTTCACTTTGTGTTCATACTACTTAAACTTAAATTTTTTCCTCTTTTAGAAACATTTTAAATTATTTTAAATTAAAATTGTGATTAATTCATTTTTATGAAAATAATGCAGCTTTTATTGCAATTCAACTTTTTGAATACAACAAAATCCCACTACCTTCTGCTTGGAAAATGCTGGGCCTATTCATTTCGTTGTGTTCAATTTTTTGGTTCAATTTTTTGGATATTTTACACACCCCTAATTAATATACCACTACTTTTTGCATTGGTAATTATTAAGCCTATTAATAATACCATTAATTTATTAATTTCAGTATCAAAAATTGTTGAGCCTATTAATAGTATTTATTGTTGTGACTATTAAGATTAATTAATTTTTTCGATTTACAAATGAACCAAAGATTATTTTAATATAAAAAATAAGTTCAAAAAACCTCATTAGTTTGAGTATAATTAGGATAAGGGTTACTGCATATTTTTCATTGGTAATCCACCTTCTGTGCATATATTTATTCTGTTTTTATCTGTTTATCTTATTTATCTTCTCAAGTTGTTCTTCTACATAGTCTTATTATTTGTGTGTTTATAGTTTTATATTTTAATAGCAATGACGCGTTTGGCATGGCCAAGCCTATCTAGCTATTATTTTGAGAATGTACACAGCCTTCTATGCATGTTTCTCACTATTTTTTTTATGCAAAATTATTAAACCTATTAATAATATTTATTATTATGTCTATTGGATGAGTAAATATTTAATATCTAAAATTCAAATTTTTTAAATCTGAATTTTGAACTTGATAAGTGGAAAAAGAGTTCAGCATTCAATATTTTCCACTACTTTCCTCATGAAAAATTGTTAAGTATATTAATATTATTTATTATTATGTCTATTAAGCTTAATTATTATACCTATTAGGATTAACTAAATTTGATACTGCAAAAACAAACCAAACATCATTTTGCTTGAAGCTTTAAAAAATAAATTTTACCAAAATATTATTTTAATACTATTTATGATTACATATTTCCAACCCATTAAACAGTAGGCTTTAGAAAATGTGTTATTTAATCAAAAAATATGTTTAGAAACTTATAATAATTAAATAATTTTTTCATAAAAACAAAAACCTATAAAAAGTAGCTTTGATATTTTCTAAAAAATTTAAAAAATAACTTCTAATTTTTTAACTTCTAATTGTTTGAAAAAACGAATAATATTTAAATTTAAGAATCATAAATAATTTAGATTGTTGAAAAAAGTTACAAATCTTTGTAACAAAAAATTATTTATTATCATTAATTGCTCAATTAAAATAAATGATCGTTCAGTGATCATCCAACTTTTGCATAGTAAAAAATAGTACAAGTATTTTTTCAAAAAAATTTAAACATGAACATTTTTCCCGTGCACCAGTAATACACTAGTATATATATATAGAAAAATAGTGACATGTTTTTTCTTTTAGAGATTAATTAACGACGGTCGCTGATAAAAAAATTAATCTTTTTCCTAAGTAAACTTTAAACATTTGAATACTACAGGCTTATACTTCAATTAATATTAATTTGTGTTTTGCCAGAATTACCCACAAGTCAATACCAAAAATTTGCAGAAGACACTACAACTTTAAACATGAAATAACATTGGCCTTAGGTACATTTTAATGTCATTTATTTTTTCCGTAGCTGCTCTATTAATAAGCAATCAAAGTTGCAAAATCAGTTGTTAAAATCACCTAATTTTTTTAAGTTTTTGGTAGTTGCAATTACAGTGTACTCAACGAAGCACACGTAGACACTTACAATTCACACAAAATCAATTAATCCTTGCAACATTTAGAAGACAAATGGGATGATAGCCTTAACATCATTAAGGAAATCATCGAACTTAGAAAGATACCATCTCCTAGTTGCATAGCTCCTACCTAGCAAGTAGTGCCTATGGTGAAAGAGAAGGCATAAAAGGTCTGAGAAATGAAGGAAACTCCATAAAACCCAATAATCTCAAAGAGATAATGGGGACATATCAGAAGGTCAAACATGCCACTTTAGTAATCTTGTATTCCTTTTCACCCTTTCCAGTTTGGAAAGAAGGTAATGGTGGTAGAAGTTGCCACATATCCCCGCAACAAACAGAACAATCCCTGGCTACATTAGATCAATTGGTGATTCTGGAAGCCCATGTTAAGTGTTGAGCATATGTCATAGTTGCAGTTGACAGTAAATAACTCAGACTGATGGGGATTGCATAATCAAGAACCATACAACCACTGTATTCGTGAACAAAAAGAATACACAAGAGAGTAAAAACAGCATTCTTAATTCAGCTTAAAATCCCATAACAGAACAAGAATAAAACACTATGTTCAGCACTCATTTCCAAACAGTAAGAAGACTGATTTTTAAAATAAATGAGAAATTAGACTGGAATAGTTGGGAAAAAAACAGATAATTTTTGTTGAAATTATGACCTGAAATAACCTAAGCATTTAACTAGTGCAGTACCCGTGCGA